TGATGTCACTGGCTACAGGGATGATGTCACAGGCGCGGCGCACGTTAGCACAGAAGTGCACGGCGTACAATAGCAGAGGAGAACAAGCGGCGCATGAAAGCAGCTAGGGCTGACGTCGGCTGACGTCAGAAACACGCGGCTCACGTTAGCAGATGAGGCCGCGGCGCACAATAGCACGGGACAAGTGTATGATGCGCGTAGAGCGCGTCTGAGAACGAGGAAGCGCATGGCCTGAAGTTCTGGCGGCGCGTGGAACGTCGGCTGTTGATGAATTTGGTGGCGTTGGATTCGTCGTGAGGAGACGAAGGTACTGGTGTGGTCCAATATGTAAGTTAGATAAGGTCGAGATATGCAACAATCTGTCAAAATGTGATGCAGACGAGATACACAGCAATCTGCTAAGCAAAAAATGTAGTGCAGCGGAAGAAGAGACTAGGCAAAACACCTGTGCTCTGATACCATGTGAGATATGTGAGATATCTGAATGAATGTTGTATTCTCTATTAATTGGTTACAAGAGTGATGCTCATTTATAGAGGAAGCACCGAAAGGAGAAGACAAAAGCTATGTGTAATAATGAAAGTGTGTGAGTGGTGTTTGGCCTTTACAACCGAAAGAAAAGAATCCTATGCTTTCTATGCTCTGTCCTATAATATATTATACTATATACATAATACATTACATGCACATTATACATTAACAGAAATTAACATAAAAACATGGTGGAGTGCATTGCAACCCATATTTTGATTGATTCTTGGAACTGTCACAAAATATAGATAATGGCATAGAAGTAACCCAACCCATGAGAAGAATTCCGATTATAGATTTTGATAGAAATATGCTTTTGCCATTTATTTATTTCTATTTCTTTCCTTTCATATATTTATTTACTATTTATTTATTTGATATAACTGCAATTATGTGCTTCAGAGAACATTATATTAATACTACATATAATATAGTGCTACTCTCTATAATGGAATATAATTACTCCACAAGAGGACTTTTTGTTTTTGTTTTTGTTTTTCTTTTTCCAATGTGAATTTCTAAGAGAAAAAATTAGCAATGAGAATCAGCATACAAAGAAGAAAGAACCGCAAAGAAGACCTCCTCCATCCAAACTATCCCTGGAAATATTAAAATATTTTCCTAAAACCATTTGATTCGATTGTATGATTGTATAATGTATTGTTATTCTTCTTTAGAAACATCAATTATAGTTTGCTAGTTGTTGATAGCCAACATAAACCATGATTATTCGTAGTAAATTATTCCACCTGTTTTATTTTTTATGTATGATATTTTATCTATTTGAAGATTGGGTTTGTCACTGGGCAGTCTTAATAATTTTTTGTTTTTTATTATAATAAAAAAGACCAAGACTACAAGTAACAAAGGAATGACAAATAATGGTGTGCTTTAGACTATTTGTTGTATTGGTAAATCACTACAACAAAAACACACTTTAGTGGCACTACATTAGTGGCATATTTTTAGAAAATGCCACAAAAAATGATATTTAGTGGCACATTTTTGAAAAATGCCACAAAACAACAAACATAAAAGGTTTTAGTGACATTTTAATGAACAAGTGTCACAAAATTACAACAAAAACATACTTTAGTAGCACTACACTAGTGGCATATTTTTAGAAAATGCCACAAAAATGATATTTAGTGGCACGTTTTTGAAAAATGCCACAAAACGACAAACATAAAAGGCTCTAGTGACATTTCAATGAACAAGTGTCACAACACTACAACAAAAACATATTTTAGTGACACCATACTAGTGGCATGTTCTTAAAAAATGTCACAAAAAGAATATTTGGTGGCATTTTTTAGAAAAATGTCATAGAGCCACAAACATACAAAGCTCTAGTGGCATTTCAATTAAAAAAAGTGTCATTTCACTATAACAAAAATGTCACTATAAAAACTTTTTATGAATATTTGCAATGGCATTTTTTAAAAAATGTCAAGACACTAGGTAGGTGCAAATTACTTTTATGGCACTTAGGTGAAAAGTGTCATAAACAAATATTTTATAGCATTTTGAGAAATGCCACTAAGCCAAAAACTTTCCAAGCTTATAATGACATTTTTGAAAAAATAAAAAATGCTAATATATTTTCTAAATTTTTAAAATGCAGTAAATGATTAAAAATAAATAAATAAAACTCAATATACACTACAGAAAAAAGCATATTCGGCGACTAAATTTCCTAACCAAAAAAATTTGGTCGCTGAAAGTATAGCTTTTAGCGACCAAAACAGCATTAGTTGCCAAAAGTAAAGCTTTTTGGCGACTAAACAATTTTAGTAGCCAAAAGTCTACAATTGGCGACTAAAACTAAGTTTGGTCGCTGATTATATGGGTTTTAGTGACTAAAAAATTTTGGGCAAATTACATGTATCCCCCTCGAGGTTTCGCTAAATTACAAATACCCCCCTGAGGTTTGAGAAATTACAAATTTTCCCATGAATGCTATATTTGCATAACAAATTAGGGGGTAATTTGTTATGAAATTTAAACTTCAGGGGGCAAATTGTTCTGAATATACAAACCTTAGGGGCCGGGATGTAATTTTTGAAACCTCAGGAGAGCATCTGTAATTTAGCCAAACCTCAAGGGAGGTATATGTAATTTGCCCAAAAAGTTTTAGTAGCCCAAAGTAAAGTTTTTTGGCGACTAAAAAAATTAAGTAGCCAAAAGTCTATAATTGGCGACTAAAAATAAGTTTGGTCGCTGATTATATGGGTTTTACCGACTAAAAAAATTTTAGTAGCCAAAAGTAAAGCTTTTTGGTGCCAAAAAAAATTTTAGTAGCCAAAAGTCTACAATTGGCGACTAAAACTAAGTTTGGTTGCTGATTATATAGGTTTTAGTGACTAAAATTTTTTTAGTAGCCCAAAGTAAAGTTTTTTGGCGACTAAAAAAATTTAGTAGCCAAAAGTCTACAATTGGCGACTAAAAATAAGTTTGGTCGCTGATTATATGGATTTTTTAGCAACTAAAAAACAATTAGTAGCCAAAAGTATAGAATTGGTGACTAAAAAATATTTTTAGTCGCCAAAAGTGGTCTTTTTTTATTGTGGTAGTAAATAGTTTATTTTACATAAATTATGTTCAATAAAATAATTATGTTTATACATATACTTTTATATTAATATAGATGTATGTACTATATAAATAATATGTGTTGCATATATAATCATGTGGTGCTATAGAGGTGTAGTGGGATGAGTGTGGTGTATAAGGTTTATGGTGCGGAAGGTTGGTGGTTCGAGTCTCTGCAAGAGCGGATCAAATTGTTCTACAACGAATTATTGTCATGAATGGCACTTGATAGCGTCACGAATAGTGCCTACCATGACGTTAAAGTGTCACTGAAAGGTTTTAGTCTTGATGGTGTAATGACACTTACAAGTGTCACTAACTCTTTTTTTAATGGCGTTTGATAGTGCCACAAATAATATCTACAATGACATTAAAATGTCATTGAAAGTTTTCAGCCATGATGGTTCAGTGGCACTTGCAAGTATCTACCGTGGCACTCGTATCTACCGTGGCACCGATAGAAGTGGCACTTGTTCAAAATACCACAAGACCAAAAAATATCATTAGAAGAATAGTTTTGTGGCACTTTCAAATGTCACTAAACCTAGAAAATGTTGTAGTGAATTTCGGTATCCTTTTATAATTCTTCTAACCCTCTTTTTTTTTTTTTTAAATAGGAATTGTTAGTGAGGGGATTAATAGTGAGGAATTGTTAAATTATTTTTATATAAAATAATAAAACAAATAAAAAAATATAAAAAAATAAACATTATATTTTAAAAAATATCCCAATATCTAAAAAATAAAAAAATTTCTAATCCACTCACTATTTTTCTAATACCATCTCTATCTCCTCCTTACCAATCCCCCTTCCTCATCCTTACTAATACCAAGGGATTACTAATCCCCTCCATATCTCTCAAAACAAATACTTTATTCTCAATCCCCTCCTCACTATCAAATCTAATCCCCTCCCCATAACCTCAAACAAATGGGGCCCAAGACTACAAGTAACAAAGGAATGACAAATAATGGTGTGCTTTAGCCTATTTGTTGTGTTGGTAAATTTCGGTATCCTTTTATAGTTCGTCTAACCCTTTTTTTTTTTTGGGATAGGATCTAACTGTTCCTGACGATGTTGTCCAGCTATTGACTCCTACTATTCTTATGCTATCAATATATACAACAAAAATTATAGTGACATTTTCTCCGTGAATTATCAATTATTAACCATCAATATCACTTCCCACACACAATAACATGCCTACATAAAAAAGTAAATTCCTAAAAAACGTTCTTTATAATAGATAAAACTAATAAAAATTCATAAAATATTTAACTTTAATGAACAATAAATATGATGGAAAAAAAAAAATACCACGTGCAACGCACGTGCACAATTACTAGTATAAGCAATTGACACAGAACGTATTTATACAAACCAAGCAATTAACACAAAACATATTTACACCATTTCCAAAGCAAAAAGAGTTGAGCTAGTTTATGTTTTGATTACATAATGAAACTAGAAATTACTTCAAGTCACTCAAGAGACTTTGTTACCTTTTATTTTCACATACTATATTGTTACTTTTGCAATTAACTAATTGGATTGATCACACTACACATGCATATAGGAACTTTAATGAATAATAAATATTATGGAAAAAAATACCATGTGCAACACACGCGTACAATTATTAGTATAATAATGAGAAACAAACCAAGCAATTAACACATAACATATTTACACCATTTCCAAAGCAAAAAGAGTAGAGCTAGTTTATGTTTTGATTACATACTGAAATTAGAACTTACTTAAAGTCAAAGAGACTTTGTTACCTTCCCTCTAAAAAAAATAAAAATCAACTTTGTTACCTTTTATTTTCATATACTATATAGTTGCTTTTGCAATTAAGCTACGTGGATTGATCACACTACACATGCATATAGGATGGCCAGAAGAAAGACCAAGTCCTACCAGCCCAGTTCCACCTGAGAACCCAAAGGTTCCCCAGCAGTTCTTCACACTGCTCAGCATTCAACATGTCATCCACCGCATCTCCATGATAAGTCAGTTGTTGCAGTTCATTAGGGATGCCACACGTCTCTTCAATCTTCTCCTTCATTTGATAGATGGGATCTGATGCCTTCAGGTTCACCTTAACTGTTTGCTTGGACGGAATCGCCACGTGAATTTGGATAGCACGTTCCAGTGTGAGAGAAGATCTTGAATGGAGATCATAATAGGCTAAAGCATTGTCACCCATAAGCCTAGTCTCCTCCAGAAACAGAGCTGGTTCCCCAACGATGCTCGCTAACTCCCCTTGAGGAATCTTGGCTATAAATTCATCGACAGTGTCAGAACTCTTTGCTTGAATTGATATGACATTTTGGGTCATGTTTTGGCTCTTTACCTTGATATGCAACCAGATCAATGAGCCAGAAACGTTCAAAGAAATGAAGGACCCATCATCCATATTATAGCCTTTAACAGTTTTCGAGTCCTTAAGCTCTCCTTTATGTAAACAAGCTCCTGAATTTGAACCAGAATTCCATAGCAGCTCTCAATCACAGACTTCACATCAAGAATTGTAAACCAGGGTTTCACTTTGAGTGCAAGAGCTTCATTCTTACCAGCATCAATAAATATCAGCAAATCAGATGTTCCATTGTCTACCCCAAAGATTGCGTAAATGGTGGAATTCCTAGGAATGTCGTAGAATGACAAGGCCTTGTCATCATTGAGTGATCTTCCAGAATAGACTAGAGTTTGTCTATTGGACGGGACACCCATATTGTCGTGGATCATGTCCTTAATGTTGGAAACTAAGAATGAGCTGTAGATATCGAGTTGCATGCAAGTACCTGCCTGGGAGATTTTTATCTGGAGCTTCATCGATGGGCTTAAGAGCCAAACTAAGCCCAAATTCTGGATGTTATGAGCACCCAAGATCTCTTCATCATCCAGTGGTGGGTGATCTGGATTTTCAACAACCAATTGTTGACTAGGAGGTACTCCAACAACATCCTCGATCATCTTCTTCACATCTTTTACAGTGTTTGATGTGTTCATGCTAAGTATCTCATGAAAATAACAGTCACGAACAAGGTTCTGAAAAGCGGTTGCGGTCGCCGTAACGGTGGCGGTGACGCAGTTGCGGTTGCGGGGTGTAAAGGCCGTAGTGTAACGGTTGCGGTAATCGGAACCGTGAATTTTTTTATTTTTCGCACAATTTGAAAAAAATTTACCGATCTGCATATTTTTTTTCCATGATCATATTTATTGGGTTAAAAATAAATATTGATCAATTTTTGCAAATTTTTAAGTATGATCCAATATATTTCATATTTCTAAATCACTATAAACTGAGTTTTTTACATTTTATTTTAATAATTAATGACTTTATATTATACAAAAAATCAATCACTAACTATTATATATAAGATAAACAATGACAAAAGTAAAAGAATAAATAAAAGCCTAAATATATATATATATATATACATATTTAACCAAGCTAAATAGATAATGACCACACTTATTAGTATTATTATTATTTTCAAACAATATATAGATAGACACACACAAACAAAATGATTTAGTGATAGCAGCTGAATAGAATAGCATAGGTCTTACAGTTTCAACAAATCAATAATATGTTCTTCATCTTCCCTCTTCTCTCTCTCTATCTGTTGCTCCTCTATTTTCTCTCTTCTATCTTCCCTCTTCTCTCTATCCCTCTTCCCCCATTTTCAGCTTTTTTTTTTTATATTTTTTTTAAAGAAACAATTTGGCACCGTTACGCAACGGTGCGTAATAGGCCGTTATGGCTGTTACGGCACCGTTACGACCGCTACGGCAGCCGCTACAGTCGATACACCTATAAATCTCAATCACACTGCAAAAGCGGCCGTAACGGGTGGCGGTAACCGCCAAAACCGTTACGTAACGGCGTTACGTAACGGTTGCGGCCGCTTTTTAAAACCTTGGTCACGAATAAATAAACGAAATGGTTCACCTTGGCGAAATGAGTTGTCATAAATCATTGTTTTAGGTGCTCTTGTTTCGGTATTCATCATATGGTTGATTCAGTTCACTGCCTGCATACAAAATCAAGCAATGGATCATGATTTGGGAGTTCTAAGCAAGCACTAAAAAGTAACTAACAAGCAGAGTATTCACTAATTATGCACGTGTTTTATATAATTAAGTAATTTGATATGAGAGGGATGGAACCATACAAAAAATGAGATTAACTGCTATAAAAATATATAGAAACTCAAAGCAAATGAAAATGTAGCAAGATTAATTATGACTCACTAATATAACAAGTAGAGTATTCACTAGTTATGCACGTGTTTTATATAATTAAGTAATTTGATATGAGAGGGATGGAACCATACAAAAAATGAGATTAACTGCTATAAAAATATATTGAAGCACAAAGCAAATGAAAATGTAGCAACATTGATTATGACTCACTAATACACTAATATAAGCACTAGATAAATTAACAAAACGTGTGTGTGAGTGTGTGTGTGTGAGAGGGAGAGAGAGAGAGAGAGGGAGAGCAGATTTAAACTTGATTATGCAACTCATTTTCCAAATAAACTGAGCCTGAGCTACAATAAGATCAGTTCACTAGGCCATTGAAAAATTACAAACCGTACCAATCAAACTTGAGTACAAATTAATGGTTGAGCTCAAAACAAGCCCTAGTTTTCTTCATTTTTTTGGTTTGTTTAGGAAAATGATAAGAAAATGAACAGATATTAGTCAAAGAAATCCATTTTTTTATTTAATTATGTAATTTGGTATCAATTTTGTTTTCTTCATTTTTGGAAACAAAAACAATGAGAAGTTTGAAAACATCCATTGTTTTCATTTTGTGTGAAAAACAGTTTTTGATAATGTGAACATAACGTTTGGTGTTTCCTAAAAAATAGGTTGTTTTCCCAAAAAATTCTTGAAAAGAGTTCATCAAACAAGTTTCCCAAGTTTTCAAAAAAACAAAAACAAAAACCAAAAAACAGAAAATGAAAACAATACCAAACAGACCCTTATCTTATTTTCCTATCTTTTCCTTTTCTTTTCTTTTCCCTCTACAAATAATGTAAAGGTTAAAAAAAGCGCGCGCGTGTGTGTGTGTCACGCCCCACTTTTTATTACTCGAAGTATTACCAATTTCATTTACTTAATTCCATTTAAGAGATAACATGCGGAAATAAACTCGTATATTTAACTCGTAGAAGTGAATAACATTGCTCTCATTCGTATGCAAGTAAATACAACATGAGTGCAATAAATAAATTGCCTTTGGGCTTACATCATTAACGAATCAAGAAGAAGGGTGCAACCCTTTTACACATATGGCATTCTGCCAATACAAGAGAGGCCCCGTGGCCAACAAATAAGAAGATCCAAATCTTGCAGCACATTCAGCTCAACACCTGAAAAAGATTCAACAATGTGGGATGAACATATAGTCCAGTAGGGATCTCAATACGACCCTCAACAATAACAACTTACAGATAGCTATGATCATGAATACCCAATCTCATACTAGAATAGTAATATGACAGTTTATACAAAACATATATAAGTATGAACTTTTCTTGAAAACAACCATTTCAATCAACGCCATAGGCGATTCAATTTTCTTTTCTTTTCATTAACCCCCGTTCCCAATCTTTCATAACATTAACAATACCTTACGAAATAAATTCACTAAGCCCACTACTCTCTTCCATTTTCCAAACATACACAGATATGCCTTTTCAAAACATATATCTCTTTAAAATATCCGTTCTCCTTCATACTTTCCAAAAGACAAAAATGACATTTTGGCTTCTTCCCGATATAATCAAATCTATACATGTACCGTTATAAAAAAGGAGATAACAACTCACTAACATGCATAAGATAAACCAATGAGGCAACTTGGCCCTCCAAAACCGTAACCAACACAATCCATGATATTCCCAGATACACTGAAACATCAACAACAAAACTTTGCACTACTAGCTATATGCGTAGTAAGCCAAAGATACACCTCTCACAACAACATGCCAGTTTACCAGGCTCTAGCTGGAACGGTGTGGTGCCTTAGATTCTCAGCGCAGTCAGTTCTCTAGGCGCTAGCTGGAAGGTCACGGTACCTCTGATTCTTAGCGCAAGGTATAACACCACCAACCAAAACATAACAGGGCATAACCAACATGTATAACACATATACCTAAACCATCAAGATACAAGCAATGTGTTAAAGTATATGAACACATAACTACCTCCTCCCGAGCAAGTATACATATATAATGTATCTCAACACTTCATCACATACGATGTTCAATCAACAATGGTATAATGCATACACGACAATTCAACACAACCATGTCATCCTCCACCGATGACCAAGGACAAAACCTCTAGATGCAAGTATTAGTACATCTATTAGAGACTCAATTACTATGAGACCACAAACCCAACAATAACACTAACACGGTAGTTAAAGATACAACCCCCCACGTGTGTGTATTTAACACTCAAGAAACAACAATCCAATTTTTATACTTATATCAAAGATACTTTTCTCATTTCATAAAACAAATTCCATTTCCTTTTGTTTTCACCAAAACCAACTCCATCCCTTTTGTTTCCACAAAACCAATTCTATTCCTTTTGTTTTACAAAACCAATTCCATTGATCATAAAGCCATAACTCACATTAGTCCACTACATTCATTTCAAAACCATTCCAAAGCCAAAGTTAACCCCTTGGGCATTAACACCTTCACCCAACTCACATTAACAATAGGGATTTACAACATAGGTTAACTACCCACCATTTTAATTTACCAAATCAAAATATAATTTGGGACTTTTTCTTCTTTCAACTACAACATGCTAATTTACACTCCAATTAGCCCAAAACAACCATCAATGATAAAATAACTATTTTCACACAACCAACCCTAGGTTCCTTCTCATGATTTCAAACAAATCCAACGTGGATATGATTTTCATGCAATACCAAACTACCACATGTCTATCTATAGACGAAGCATTGAAAAAGAACAAGGAAATCCCTACCTCAAATGTAGAACCCAAGGAGGAGAAGAAGAGCTAAACTCGGAAGTGCTCCAAATACCAAATTTCACGGATCAAAATGTAGCCCTCAATGATCAACACACTTTTTGTAAAGGCCAAAGGGTAGGAGAATACTCTAACTAGATCAATCCCTAGAGAGAAGGTGGGTTTCTAGCGAGAGAGGCTCTCCAATGGAGTTTTAGAAAAGTAAGAGAGAGAGAGGATGTAAAAAGTGATCTAAAATAGCCTAGCTGCCAACTAATATACGACTCTCTTGCTCGAGCGGATAAAAGGACGCTCGAGTGTCAAGTACAAAAACTGGACCCGCTTGAGTGCAAGAAGGCCCACTCGAGCTCCAAGACACAAGAACAAAACACACCCGCTCGAGCGCGAAAACCAGTCCGCTCAAGCGTAGATTCTCCTCTCTCAATATCTTCACCGACAATGCTCACCCCGCTCGAGCGCCAACAGATCCGCTCGAGCACGACCTGCTCGAGCGTAAGGAAACCCGCTCGAGCGTGAAAAACACACCTGCATAAGTTTTGCAGAGGCACGAAATACTGGAACTGTGAAAACCCCGCTCGAGCGTAAGGAGACCCGCTCGAGCGTACCACCAAAAATCTGGGCGACAAGGAATGGGACTAAAGCTCAACCAACCTGTTCGAAACACGCCCAACACAACCCAAAACTCTAAAACAAAGAGTAAGGGATATAAATGAGGATAAGACAACAACAGATCTACGGAACCAAGTCCGGATTACAGTTCAACAACAACAGAGAAAACCGGGATCGCTATAGTGTGTGTGTGAGAGAGAAAGATCATGGATTAATAAATTGATGGGATTGTAGACGTCCCCCGAACGCCCCGGGAGGGTTTAAGCTCCCGTTCTGTTCATTTTGGAGTCACTACAGCTCGGACTCTTAAATGTCACGGTTCCTAATCTGAACCAAAGAGTCCAAATCCGGCAAATCGTTTTTAGGAAAAC